GATGTTAGAAGCAGAGATTGCATTTATGTTTAAATTAGAAGAATTATTAGACTTTGTGGAGTGCTGTCTTCGAGAGAATACAAAGCACTAACATTTTTTATAAATTAGCATCTGTTATCCGAAAGTTCAAGCACAATAGAAGATTTTTTGTGGGTAGAAGATAATAGCAACGAAGATTTTCAGGGAATGACAACACGAACAGTTTATACTTCTAAATATATGAAACGTGAGAAGAAAGCACGAATCACTTAATGTTTGAGTTTACGTCAAACAACTTCATATAGCACCTGCGTTCTTTTCTGCAATTTCTTTTCTGCAATTCTGTTCTGCTTTTCTATTTTGTAAATAAACTAAGTGCTTTTGCAATTTACTTATTTGCACCAAACAAAAAAGGAAGTCAAATTTGTAAATAAACTAGCTAGTGTTTTTTTCCTAGTACTGATTGATTGTATAGTTGTATAGGTTAACGTAAAAATTTTTTACGCCCTTACCTGATCCGTACAAGTCAGCTTCTTGGTAGGTCACGGGTCAAAAATTGGCCCGACCCAGGTTATACGGGTCACGGATAATGGATAAAATTCAGTGATCCTGTATTTTTGACGAAGTTTCGGTTATCCAATTTATATTACAGCTATTTTCATAATTCCTGGAACACCTGATAAAAATTAGCCGAATGATTTTTCAACCGATTCGATTAATCAACATAATACGTAGATTCAATAAAATTCATAATATACGTAATTTAAGATCAGGTAATAACTAATATAAATATTATTGAATATACTTTCAAAGCATCTTCTCTGGAAAATATTCGAAAAAAAAAATTTAGAAGGCCTATCATTCGAAAAGTTGCCAAACACTTAGGTGTTAGCATATATTTTATAAGTCAAATTCTTAAACACTTTCAAAAATATGGATGTATTGAAAAGCTTCCGTCACGTTCACTGAACATGAATGAAAAAAAACCTGAATAGTATTTGTGCTGTATGAATTACAATCCGAGATGAATCGTAAAACTGGTCTTATGACAATTTGAAGCAACTTGTATATACAAATAAAAACAATATTTTATTTATATGCAGGATCTTCTTTAACACGTACTTCGTGCAATATGTTTAGCTTAAAAGTCTAGTTAATATTGTACATTTTTTATATTTCTTGTTAAGACACTAAACATGTTGGCATTATTGTTACAACGGTCTGTAAAACAGTCATTATGATATGGATCATGCTGAAATTGCAAACTTAATCGAATCGGCTGAAAATCATTCGGCCAATTTTTATCAGGTGTTCCAGGAATTATGAAAATAGCTGTAATATAACAGGTACGATATAGAATTGTAAAATTCTATAACGATAAGCTCTACTCTTTAAACCCTTGAGAGTAATTTACATAACTATTGACCCGGATAATGCTCTAAATAAGAGTCGTCACATCAACTTTAGTATTACAGCTATTATTATAATTCCTGAAACACCTAATAAAAATTAACCGAATGATTTTTCGGCCGATTCTGTTAAGTTATAGATTCGGGAATAATAAGATTCAGTAACAGATATATCTAGCGATGGGAATTTCTAATTATTAATTGGTAATAGGGAATTGTTAAATTAATAAATCATTTTTAACAATTAATAATGAATTATCCAAAATGCATATAAAGTATCGTTAAAGTGATGTAATAAAATTTATGGTTTCACCTGATAATAGTTTCACAAGTGTACCTGCAGAAATATGTATCAACGGTAGAATTTTCCGTTGCCGTTACCACTCTCTATATGAAAATAGTCAAAGTCGTTTTTGACAACCCATTAAGGTTCATGGATCTTCTTTAGTATAGCTGGGCAATATAGAAATATTATAAGATTATAATATAAAAAAACTCTAACCCTAACTCTAAGCTAACTTTAATATAAACTATAAGCTTACCCTAACCCTAACTATTCCCAAATTTGCTTAAATTAGATTAAATAGTATATTATGATCTTATAATGATTCTATATTGCCCAGTTATACTAAAGATCAACCTAATTGATTCTTAACCTTAGAACAATTCTAATTCTAGTTACTTTGCTTTAAATATTCTTTCTGGCTAAAAATTTTTTTAAAAATTATTTTGTAAAACATAAAATATTGATTTATAGTGTTTAATATACTGTATATCAGAGTAAAAAAAAAACAATCAATATTCATTTTGTTGGTGCATTATAGTTTATCAAGCATTAAACTTATGCAAAACTTAGCTTTAATTTATCTTAATCAATTTTTATTTATTTATTTAATAATATATACCATATAAGAAAAACAAGCTATTACGAAGTAACATATATCACGGTGATATAAATACAGAATAGACTAGTAGAATTTCCTATAACTACACTAATGTGTGGTATTAAATCTTCAATTCTCTATTTATACTGTACCTAAATTAAGGCTACTATTAGTTTAGAAAAGGGAGAAAGAGAACCTTAATCTTTATAAAAATTTAAATTTCAAGTTTTACAATAATTTGTTGATCTTGGAAATGCTATAACATCGCGTATATTGTCCATACCGGTAATATATTGTAAATATCTTTCGAACCCAATCCCAAACCCACCATGAGGAATAGTTCCATATTTTCGCAAATCAAGATACCATTGAAATTCTTCGGTGTTCAAATTAAATTCTTTTAATCTTTTTACTAGTTCATGATAGCGTTCTTCTCTTAGACTTCCACCAACTAACTCACCAATTTTTGGGAAAAGTAAATCTGTACATGCTACTGTTTTATTATCCGGATTTACACGCATATAGAATGGCTTTATCTGTTTAGGATAGTCTGTAATAAAAACTGGTCCACGACAATAATCGGTTGCCAAATATTTTTCATGTTCACTATGGAATGATGCACCGAATACAGGCTGAAATTCGAACTTTTTATTTGCTTTAGAGAGTATATCTATAGCTTCTGAATATGTCATACGTATAAAAGGGTTATTCGTAGTATATTCCAGGCGAACAGAAAGCTCTTTGTCAATCCATTTGTTAAAAAATTCTAAATCTTGTGAACAAGTATTAAGTATGTGCTTTGTAGTCTCTCGAAGACAGCACTCCACAAAGTCTAATAATTCTTCTAATTTAAACATAAATGCAATCTCTGCTTCTAACATC